AAATAAATCTTCCTGGTGGGGGAAGAAGTATATGGTAGAAAGCACGTTTTCTTTGTGAGAGTGCAGATTGGCTACTCACAGTAAGTGTAATAAGCATCTCTTGGTGTCCTGTCCAGATTCCATTTACTAGGCCAGTAGCTACCATGAGTATTCACTGCTAAAGATTAATTTTTGTATCCTAGTCAGAGTCACTTTGTCCATAATACCTTGGAAGTCAAAACCTCTCTCCCCTTACCTCACCCTACCCATGTCTCCTGGCTTGCAGTCTGTGGATATAAATGCTTGGCTCCCTTGTCTTACATTTCAGAGTTCCCCTGGGCTTGGACTGAGCCTAGACTTGAACTGACCTACATTTATGCCTATTTTCTTCCCCTGTCCCATGTTGCTCATTTCCATACAAGTTTCATCTAAGAACATTTCTTTTTTTTTTCATTTTTCTGCTCTCCACCCCATTTCAGATGGTATGTGTAATACTATGCGTCAGCAGCCACCACCAATCCTGCTGCCTCAAACCCAGATTCTGTGCTGCTGCGGCTGATGGGGATAACTCAGTGAGCTGCCTTAGGCTAGTGAGGTTGCTTTGTGGGTGGGAGTTTGGAGCTGCAGTAAGTGGGAGTGTTTGGGGGAAGGGAAGAAAAGAAGGAAATGAGGCTAAGTGTTTCTATTCCTGCATGACCAACCACTGGTGGGCGAACCAGCACCAGGCAAGAACAAACAGTAGACAATGTTCAATGTATATTCCAATATCCTCAATGTGGGTCCAGAGCTCGAACTTGCCCTATCTAGGTTGACAAGCCTGTCTTACCTCACAATCTCCCATTGCTCCACTCCTTGGTGTTTCCTCCCCTCCTCCTTCTCAAGTCACCAATGCTGATTTCTGCTGCTGGCACTGCCCTGCCTTTTACAGGACATGAATAAGAGACTGTGTTCCAGTGGGCCTGTGGAGAAACAGAGAAGCACCTCCAACCTTAAAAATTGTGCTGCTACCCTCCACTTCCACTCCAGGAGCTGCCAATCCATACCTACCTTCAAACCGACCTACAAGGACTGGGACAGCATTCCTCCTCATCCTCCTTCTTCCTTGGCCACAGTCATGTCACCCCTAAGGAAACAGGGAGCTGGCACCTGAGCCATAACTGCTATCTGGACCAAGGCTTCAGTACCTGGGCTCCTGATCAGGTGAGGTCATGTCACTGGTGAGTTCAGGTCCCAAATTTCTCCTGTCGTTATTAGCAAAGCAGAGGGCAACCTGAACTCTCAACCTCACCAACTTCCCTGCCTCCACTACCATGTAGGGTACAATCATTCTTATTTTTTTGTTTTTTTGGGTTTTTTTGTCTTTGCACACGCAGCAAAAGTGTTGTCTTCCTTTGATTACTGGAAGAGACAGAATCTTTTCCTGGGCTACTGGCCATTTCTAATTCTTCTTGGGGAAATGGCCTCATTCTTTTCTCTGCTTCTTCTACCTCTTTTTTTTTTTTTTTGGAATCACTGATGTTCACCTCTGCAGTCCTGAAAATATCTAAAAATGGAGATTGGGAAGGGATGTCAGAAAAGGAAGCAGAGAGTAGGAATGGATTTTGTTACTTGTTATTCTGTTCCTCTATTTTTTCACACAAACATGCCTTCTTTTTATTATTGGAAAATATGATAGAACTATTTTTGTTTAAGAAAAAGTATTCACTATTTTTAAAAAGGCATGTATCATAAGCAATAATTCTCAAGGCATAATGAGTTTTACAAATATCGCTCAAGACAATTTTAATAATCTTCTGGGAAGTTTGAACAAGGGGCAATGTGTCCAGATGTACTGAAAACAAACTATAGGGTGACAAGACTGTCAGGGAGACTGGTCTATCTGCATCATTCATTACAACAGCAACCAGTGGAGAAAAGAAACTTTACAACCAAAGCATTCAATAAAATAAGTCAACAATTCTTGATTTTTCAAAAACTGTTAGTAAAATAGGAACAGGGGAAACTTCATTTTATGTAATAAAGAATTACTACATGTAATTTACAGTAAATTACATGTAATTTTATGATGGATTCTTGATTGAATGAAATTAGATATAAAAGAAAATACCTCTAACCTAATAAAGCATATATCAGAAGCTCTTTGACCTGGAAACTTCATCACTCCCCTGTGGGGTGCCAAGACCACATAACTTATGACTTGCCTCCAGTCATTGACAATATTTCTGTATACTACTTTTTGTGTGATACTAGTAAACATAAGTGAAAATAAGCTTGAAAAAGAAGAGACTATATCAGAAACAGCAAAAGTTACTCTAAATGGTGAAACAGAAGAGAAATTCCCATTGACTTCAAGAACTAGATCAGGAAGCCCTCAGGGAGTCTTAGTCAAATGTAGAAAAGTAAAAAGAAGCAGGCATAAATATTAGAAAAGAAGAGAAAAATTGTTTACAAACAATGAGCTATAGCATATACCTAGACAAATCAAAAGTACCTGAAAACTATTGGACTTAATGACAGGTCATAAAAATTGGCAAATACAAATAAATATACAATAGTAGAGCATGTCCTCTTAAACAGAAAATTTGATATCAGAAATTATAATTCAAAAGAGAAGTACCTTTTCATCCCAAAGACTACTAAGTACCTAAGAAAAACCTAGAATATAATACAAATTACTTAGCTGAAGAAACTTACCAAATTTGATTAGCGAGCATGAAATGGAATGAAGCAAAATGGAGAGGAATTCTCAATTTTAAGGTGTTAGTGTTCCTTGAGTTAATCTTCAGATTTACTTCAATTACAGTACAAAACCCAATGCCTATTTCTTTTACTATTGCTTAATTTGGAACTTGATTAATAAGCAAGAATACATTTACAAATATGCTCATAAAAAAGAAAGTTGGAAATTGTTAGTAGTGATTGGGAGTGGAAAAGATAAAACAAGATTCTTTCTTTGTATACTTTATTTCTTTATTGGAGTGATTTTTCGTATGGTGCTGGGGATTGAACTCAAGAGTCTCAAACATGCAAGGCCAGTGTTCTGCACTATGCTACATATTCAGCCCTGTTTTGAATATTTATTGCCAGGGAAAAAATTTATTACCAGTGAAATTAGAGTCTAGATCTCTAATCTAGACTGTTATATACAACACAGCCCCTTTGGACCATTGTATTGGCTCTTAATATCTGGGAGAGGGGTCACAGATCTCTTAAGAAACGGATAAGGTTGAGAACCTCTTAACCTGCCCTCCAAAATGTGCTTATTCACACATACACTCACAAACACCTTAGAGGTGAATACAGTTTCAAGTGGTCCATAAAGTTGACCAGGTAAGAATGTCTACTTTAGGGTCTGGTGAAGTGGTTCAAGTGGCAGAGTGCCTGCCAAACAAGCATGAGACCCTAAGTTCAAACTCCAGTACCACAAAAAAAGCCTACTTTAGGTTAGGTTAATCAATTGCAGTCAGTGGGGATTGCTGCTTGAGTCTGGGCATACATTTGGCTGAGGGAGCACCAAAGTGAATGCAGACTGTCAGGCTAGGCTCTTCCTGAGTGCCCTGGAGTTTAGGAGGCCCAGAGGTGAGATGTACCTCTCAGGCCAGGTGGAGATAGCACACAGTGTGTTAGAAGAAATGTTTTCCAGGAGCTGTGAACAAGACTTAGAGAAGGCAGACCAGGGTGTTTGTGCCCAACAATCAGCTGCAGGGGCAGGTGGGAACAACAGTCTCTTCTATGAATTATGGAATCTGAGCCAGGAAGAATAAGGGCCAAAGGCTCAGCTTGTCACCTTGGCTACCTGTCCATATGTATTTTTAGAATGAGCAACAGAGTCAGGCATCTGAATGGGGGGTGGGGCAACAGGCTCTAGAATACAGGAGGGAGTCTGAGACAGCATCTTCTACCCTTCTTGACAGGGCAGGGAAGTGTGGACTGTCTTGCACCTTTCACACCCTTAGTTTCCTTAGTTTTGCATCTCTTCCTTTTGCCCAGAGCTGAATAACTAAACTGGAACCTAACTCAGGGACAGGTGTTCAAAACTATCTGGTGTAAGCCATCAAATTACAGAAGGTTTACACAACCATCAGCAAATGGGGATTATTAAATAAATGTTCTATGACAGAATAAGACAAGATCATTTATTTATCCAATTTAAAAGCTGTCCCAGAAGGAAGAAAAAGTAGGATATTATTTGTCCAAAATAAATAAGATAAACAACTGAATTTATCAACATGAGTCAACTTACAGATTACATGGAAATATGCTTATCTTGCTGAGAAAAATTCCATTTTTAGATGCACAAATACTTTAACGTGCTTTTAAAAACAGTTTCCTATGTGACCAATGTGGTAAAAATTTAAATCAATCGTGCTTTCCAATGGAAGTGGGAAACCTTTTTTCCTTTTCTTTCTTCTTTTTTAGTTACAAAACATGTCTGTCCTTTTTGTTGCTGTTTCCCACACTGAATTCTTGTTTTATTGTATTTTCTTACTATAAAAATTAAGCGTGGTGGTAGTTTTTAAAACAAAGGAATATTACAGAAGTACAAATCTCTCACTCCCAACCTGTCTCTTTTCTGATCTCCTGGTCCCTTATTTATACTGGAGCAGGGTTTGGAGTGCAAGGGAAATGATAGGAACTAGATAGGGGCTGGAGGTTGGAGGTGGAGTGAGGGAAGAGCATCCAGCAAACTAGGAAAGGATGAGACAATTCCCCAGCAAAAAAAGGAAAAATTGTCAGTAGCTCTCCCAGAAGATGCAGCCCCTCCCCAGTATCCAGGGAAAGGCAAATTCGTGCTGGGAGAAGGGGCTATTTTGGCCACTGCGACTACAAAGGCAAAGAATGAGTGACAGGACCTGGTGTGGTGGGGGGAGGTAGAAGAAGGAGGGGGGCTCATGCTCTTGGTGGGAGTGGAAATTGGGGGACCCAAGCTTACTGGCGTTGTGGCCCTCACGTGACCAGGAGCTGACGTGGGCAAAGGTACTTAAAGCGCTGACCGCCGCCCACCTTTCTCCTCGGGGTACCAACTCTATTACGCTGCACACAGCCAGGCGTTTAACCCTAGGCGAAGAGGAGGAGGAGAAAATTCCCAGATCCAGGCAGGTGGGTGAGGGTGGACATGGCCTGGGACCCCTAAAAAGGATCAGCCTAGGGATGCGGGAGTCTGAGGCCCCAGATGTCTCTGCCTTGCCCGCTCCGGGAGGGCTTTCCAGACTCCGGGTTCCCAGACGCAGCTCCTTTGGTTGGGCGGCGGGGGAAGAGGGAGGGAGAATGAAAAGACTTTAATAGAATTAATGAAAAATCCGCTTGCTTCCTCTCCCAGTCAAGTGTTTTGTTTTGTTTTTTCTGGTTTTGTTTTTGATATCTAGGCCCCGCACCCCACATCCCATCCTGTTTCGAGAGGAGGAGGGAAGAGAAATAAACGTGGCAGCAGCGCATTTAAGGCCAGCGAGGAGGTTGGGAACTGGTGACCCGAGGGGCATGCAATTTGGAAACAATCAGGACCTTGAGCTCCCACCCTCATTTTGCAGAGCCCTCCCGCTTCCACCTCCCCTTTCCCCACTCCTCCCCTGGCCAGCCATCTACCCTTTGGAGTGCTAGAAAATGGGTGTGCCAGCTTCTGTTAGAGGGATGGCGGGTTTGGCGCTGTCTGAGCATAACCGGAGGGGGGCCCCTGAATCTGGAATTAGACCGCAGCGCTAACTGCCAGACTGCTTTCCAGACGCCTTTGGCCCACACAGCACTTCGCCCTCGTCGTTTCGGTCCTGGAAAAGGAATTTGGGTATGCCAGAGGAAGAAATGGCGGTTATCAGAGGATTTGGGTGGGGGGTGGGAGGCGGAGCCCTGGGCGGAGAAACCAAGGAAAATCACGACCCTGAAACAGACGTTGGGGCCCTTGTTTTGCAGGGTAATGCTAGACCTGGAGGCCGGGGAGTGAAGAAAGGTTGGCCATAGGAGGGAGACCCTAAATTGTCTGGCAGGAATCCCCCCAGGCCAGCTTTCATGCACCCTCGCCCCACCCCCTCCCGCATCGGTGCAGGAGGAGGGGTGTGGCGGTGTTGCTGAGAAATGGCGGCTGGGGGCGGGGCAAAGTGGAAGGAGGGGTTGGGTTCCTGGAGAGTCTGCGCAAGAGGGAGATTGGGGTGGGCTGGGAGGAGTGGACAGAATCAAAGGAATTGAAAGGTGGGATCTTGTGATGTTCTGGTGTGCAAATTCTAAAAAGCAATTACTGGGACTCTTGTCCTGAGTGCTGATCCATCCACCAGGCTTTCTGGCTCCAATGTCTGCAGCCTATATTTCTGCCCTTCAAGTCTGTCCTTAGCACGAAGCACTAACTGAACTGAAGGAAGAACAAACGGCCCTGAATTCTTGGAGGTCAGTGTTTGGAATGGGAACTGTCTGGGGATCCCTCGTGTGGGTGTGGCAAATCAAAACAGAGTCTACAACCAGAGGCTCCTCCTCCTGCATCTTCTCTCTAAGACACCTTTGTCCTGACCTGTCCTTTTTGATGCAGGGAAAGGGACGTGGCATCTGCCTTTTTAGTTAATAGATGGAGGGGAAAAGGATAAGGAGGAAAGTAGAAGCCCCGAAAGGGGGAAAGTGTTGACCCACAGGAAAGCAAATCAGAAAGGAAGGGTGATCTGTCCTCCAAAGGCTCAAAAACACCCTATGATTTGTCCACAGGTCTGTCTGCCTATTAGGCTCTGAGGAATTTCAGGCACAGTGGAAAAGAGCAAACTGCTCCTGATCCCAGGAAGTTGGTATGTGCACGAGCACAGTCTAGGGGCATCTGAGTGAGGGTGGGGGCATTGGAACTGAACCATACTGCTTCTCATCACCCGATGTAGGGTCAAGAAAATTGTAGGCCTTGGCATTAAGAGGACAAGTTAGGGTTGATACAACCTGGTCTCTAAATCGGCAAATTTAGACCTTGGCTCCTGTGTCTGGGTGCTAACCTACTCACTAAACATTGTATCCCCAAAGTCATCCGGTTAGTCACAAAGTAAGCCAGAGTCCGAAGCCTCATTTCAAACATTTACCTTTAGGTCCTGCTTAGCTTGCTGCCTTGGGCAGAGCTTGCAAGTCTGACCTGAAGAGCCTCACCTTGACCTTGACGTGAACGCATCCCTCTTGGGCAGGCCAGTTTGACACCCTGGATCAGAGATTCACCCCAGCCACACCATGAGCCGTGTTCGGGATGCTGGCTGCGTAGCTGCGGGGATAGTGATTGGGGCTGGTGCCTGGTTCTGCATCTACAAATACACCAGGGGTAAAGATCAGAAGAGGAAAAGACTGGCCAAGCCCAAGAGCCGGTCTGTGGCCGGAACTGGAGCCAGGGCTAGAACTGGGCCAAAGGCTGTATTCACAATTGACCTTGGGCCACGATTCAATCCCCCAACCCCAGTCAGTCCTGGGGCAGAGGACAAGGCCCAAGATGAAGCCTCTACTCTTGATATGACTGGAGCTGAGGCAGTAGTCCCAGCTGCATCCAGCGCTGAGGCTCAGAGTGGGGCAGGAAGTCAGACAGATGGAACTGGGATTGGGCATCAGGTTGAAACAGTAGTTGGGGTTGCAGCAGCCTCTGAAGTAACACCACCTCCTAGGGTGGCAGAGACTCCCACAGCTGTAGAAGCCTCTGCAATGGCAGATGCTCCCAAAGTGGCAGAAGTTCCCAGTGCAATGGAGGTTCCTGGGGCAGCAGCACTTCCCAGGGCATCAGTACCTTCTGGGGCAGCAGCACCCCCCAGGGCAGCAGCACCTTCTGGGGCAGCAGCACCCACCAGGGCAGCACCTTCTCCTGGGGCAGCACCAGTGCCCTCTGGGGTAGCAGCACCTCCAAGGGCAACACCTTCAGGGGCAGCAGCACCTCCCAGGGTATTAGCACCTTCTGGAGCAGCAGCACTTCCCAGGGCAGCACCTTCTCCTGGGGCAGCAGCACCTCCCAGGGCACCAGTGCCTCCTGGGGCAACAGCACCTCCCAGGGCAACAGCGCCTCCTGGAACAGCATCATCAGCCAGGGCAGCAGTGCCTCCTGGGGTGGCAGCACCTACCCAGACAGCTGCAGCCACAGGAGAGGTTGTGGAGGTTCGTGGGGTGACAGCACCTACTGAGGGCACTGAGGCTCCAGTAATGGCAGTGCCTGCAGAGGTGACTGAGGTTCCTGTGCCTACAAGACCTGCTGGGACAGCAGCACCTGCTGGGGCTACGGAGGCCCCTGGGACTTCAGGGTCCCCTAGAACAGCAGCAGGTACCAAGAAAGCAACTCCTGGGGCTCACACTGGAGCTATACCTAAGGCAGGGCCAGCCACTGGAGCTGTACCCAAGGGTGGAGCCAAGGGTGGAACCAAGTCCCGGTCTGGAGGCAAGGGCAAGAGCAAGAAAAGCAAGGTTGAAGTAGATGAATTGGGAATGGGCTTCCGCCCTGGGGATGGAGCTGCAGCTGCTGCTGCAGCCTCCGCTAATGGGGGACAGGCTTTCCTAGCAGAAGTCCCTGATTCTGAGGAAGGGGAGTCTGGGTGGACTGACACAGAGTCAGATTCAGACTCTGAACCTGAGATTCAGCATAGAGGAAGGGGCAAAAAACCTGTTACGATGCAGAAACGCCCTTTTCCTTATGAAATTGATGAGATTCTGGGTGTCCGAGATCTCAGGAAAGTCCTTGCTTTGCTTCAGAAATCGGATGATCCCTTCATCCAACAAGTAGCCTTGCTCACTTTGAGCAACAATGCCAATTATTCATGCAATCAAGAGACGATTCGCAAGTTGGGAGGCCTCCCAATTATTGCAAACATGATCAACAAAACTGATCCCCACATTAAGGAAAAAGCTTTAATGGCTATGAATAACCTGAGTGAAAATTATGAAAACCAGGGCCGGCTTCAGGTATACATGAATAAAGTGATGGATGATATCATGGCCTCTAACCTGAACTCAGCAGTACAGGTAGTTGGACTAAAATTTTTAACAAACATGACCATTACTAATGACTACCAGCACCTGCTTGTCAATTCCATTGCAAACTTTTTCCGTTTATTGTCTCAGGGAGGTGGAAAAATCAAGGTTGAGATTTTGAAAATACTTTCAAATTTTGCTGAGAATCCAGATATGCTAAAAAAACTTCTCAGTACCCAAGTACCATCATCATTTAGTTCTCTCTACAATTCTTATGTGGAATCAGAAATTCTGATTAATGCACTTACCCTGTTTGAGATTATCTATGACAACCTCAGAGCAGAAGTGTTCAACTACAGAGAATTCAACAAAGGTTCTCTTTTTTACTTATGCACTACATCTGGAGTGTGTGTTAAGAAAATTCGAGCCTTGGCAAATCACCATGACCTCTTGGTGAAAGTGAAAGTTATCAAATTAGTGAACAAATTCTGATTGCTATGTGCTCTCAAAAGACTTGGAAATTCTTGGTTTTGCAGTCTGGAAGCATTGAAAGTTGAAAGTTACTGCTTCTCCACTTGCTTATATGTAAAGGGATTCTTTCAGCTGCCAGTTTTGAATAATGTATCATCTAGAGTGATGTTATCTGTGACAGTCGCCAGCTTTAAGCTGAACCATTTTATGAATACCAAATAGTCCTCCTTTACTGAAAACACATTTGTGATCTTAATCGTGCTGCTTGGATGGAATACTTTTACTGGTTCCTCTATGTGAATTGACAGTAAGCCTGTCCATGAATGGCCTACTCTGCTCTTACTTGTTTTGACTTGAATTTATCCACCAAAGACTTCATTTGTGTATCATCAATAAAGTTGTATGTTTCAAGTGAAAAGAAATTGTTTTCATGCTTTAATTAAAATCTAGCTGAAAAGATAAGAAACACAAAAACAAAAGTATTACTAAGGGCACCCGGGCATTTGCTCATTGTCAAATACATGAAGCAGAGCTTATTGACAAAGCTTCAATGAAGACTTGCACATGAAAGTCTGGCCTGAAGGGAAGCATAATGGGGTGGTGAAGAAAAGGGGAAATGACTTGAAGAAAGGCCTGGAGGTGTGAAGTCTGTTCCTGTGATAGGAAGGAAGCCAGTTTGACTAGAATAGAAGAATAGATGCTGCAGGAACAGGAAGATGAGAGAGAAAGATGGTAGTGTGGGGTGAGGAAAATTTAAGGAAGATCTTGTCCCCCAAGCTGAGATATTGAAATATCCTGTCATTGTGGGAGCCACTGGACATTTTTGATAGAAGTAAAAATATGGCAGCAATGTGCAAGAGGGATTGGAACTGACATGATCTTAAGAATGGAAGAATGGAAATGAAAATATTTATTAGAATAAAGCTTTAATATTTATTAGAAAGCAGGAGATGATGAAAGATGAAATGGGGTTGTAACTAAAGAAACTGTTGTGGCATGTTGGTTATAAGAAATAGGGGTCCAAAAAGGACCAAGATCTGCCACCTGACACTTGGACGTCACAGGTTCTGACAGGGAAGGACCCTCTGTCTTAGACAACTGTGGGAACAATGCAATGACCAAATGAGTTCCCATTTGGAATAAGAAAAAAAAAGTCAATGTGGCAGAAAGAATGACTTGGCAAGACAGTGGTTGGTTTCCTAAGGCTAGAGGTCTAGGTTGACCTTTCTTTGGAAAATAAGCAGTGGTGAGGCCTTTCTTGGCACATTTATCCTTACTCCTGAGTTGCCCTAAGAGCAAGTGTACCTTCCTTCTTCTCCCCCCGCCCCCTGCCTCCAGCCCACTAAAGCAATGAAGAAAGAAAACGGGAAGTGTCTCAGAGAGTTTCCCAAACCCAGTTTGATTTTATGACACCCCTAACAAAGTTTTTTGTGTAAGTATATGGTAGGCTATGTATGATAGGAATAAAAATAGGAGTTCCTGGAATAGAGGCATATAGAAAAGGATAGATTGGTATTATATATCAGTACAACTGATCTGGAGAGCAACTTGGTAATATTCATAAGAACCTTTAAAGATGTACCTGCTCCTCATTGAAGCATTCCACTTAAGGGATTCTTCCAGAGGAAATCTAACAATTGTACTCAGAGGAATATACCAAACTGTTCATTTCAGTACTGTTTCTAAGAGAGAAAAACTAGAAGAAACTTACATTTCCAACACCATGGAGTTGGCTAAACAGTAGATGGTATCCTCGTGCATAAAATATTATACAACTATTGTAAATGGAGATGTAATTTAGTGGTATAGTACTTGCCTGGCATATGTGAGGCTCTGGGTTCAGCACCCCAGCACTGCAAACTTCTACATCTTGCTGACTCTGGTTAATAACAGTATATTTTATACTTGAAAATTGCTATGAGAGTAGACTACTCTCATACTAACTACTAGAAAATGATAACTATGTGAGGTAATGCATATGGTAAGTAACTTGATTTAACCATTCCATCATGTATGCATATATTTTAAAAAATCATGTGCCCTCAATATATTTAATATTATCATTATTTATTTAATTTAATTATTATATATTATTACATATAATTTAATTATTATATTTAATATTATCATTAAAAGACATTCACCATATATAAAGGCCTATGACATCAGTCTAAAAAGGCACACACAATTGAAACTGGGAGAAAATTCTTTCAGATGTTTATTATATACATTTCTGTGTATTTCTTATGTAAAATGGGGATCATTAGTGGTTCTCAATGTATAGCTCATGGACTATACATCCGAAAATTGTAAGGTCAACATTACTTTCAGCTGGACATGGTGGCACATGACCATAATCTCAACACTCAGGAAGCAATGATGGGTAAAACTACAAGTACCTTACCATAGATCAAAGCAGTGTCTCCACACTATCCTAGTAGTGATTGTATTCTTTACAATAGCACCCTCAATTTTTAAAATTCAGTTTCATTTTTAAACATTTTAATGAAGTCCTTGTGCATAATAAAATTATAAATTTGCTAAATCTTGATGCTTAAATGTGCCTTTTTAAATATTCTGTTGTGATGAAATAAGAAGTATGAACAAAGCACTTACACTACTAATGTAATACACTGGTTGTCCTAAAGGAAAAAATTTCCACAATCATTCAAGTTGTGCACTGAACTGTTTTTTTTTTCATGCAAGTCCATTTTTACTTGAATAATGACTACCAGACAAACTACAGTTTTTCAGATTTATATATTTGGCAGATATTTTCTTGTGAATAAATGAAGTGAGGCTTCAAGGAAAACAACTAACAGTATTTGCCACCAACAGTAAAACAAGCTTTCAGGCAAAACTGGAATTTTTGGAAAATTTGCATCCACAGCTGTAAGTGTGACAGCTTGCAATTCTTGAAGATTTTTCAGAGATTAGTGGTAATAATAAGGAAAGTGATGGCCTTTTTTTCTTTTTGTCCTTGGAGAGAATTTGCGGAGAACTGAAGGGCCTAATGTTGATTTTACATCAGTTTTACTGACATTGAACCCATGGCCATTTAATAAGGAATATCATTGCAGTGGTGATAACAAGATAACCTTAGATGAGGCTAGACCCAAGATTTCCTGAATCCACAATATGGACAGCCTGAAAAGATGTCAGTCCTGAAACATTAATGTTATCTGAGTAACACAGACGAAGTTTTGAGTTCATGTATTGAAGAGGAATGTACTTGTATCTGTTGGCTTAATCCAATAGATAATCCTACCATACCATCTTCTCTTGCTCTGATTTATGGTAGAAACTTCCATGACCTTCAAATGAAACCTATTCCCATACAGAGATATGTGGTCTGGCCTTATGAATAAGTAAAGAATCACAAATAGGCAAAGTATTTTATTTCCTAAAGTCTTAGTTTCTGTATCTTAAATAAGTCATATGTGAAAAATCATCAGCATAGTCCAGGTGTGGCTGATACTTAAAAGAGTGGTTTAGCCACCCTCAGTGGCTCAAGCCTCCAATTCTAGCTACTAGGGAGGAGGAGATCATGAGGATCACGGTTCAAGGCCACCCCAGGCAAAAACCTAGCAAGACCCCATCCCAACCAATGAAAAGCTGGGCATGGTGGTCATCTCAGCTATGCGGGAAGTGTTAATAGGAGGATCGCAGTCCAGGCTGGCCCAGGTATAAATAATGAGATTCTATTCAAAAAATACCTAAAGCAAACAGAGCTGAGGATGTGACAAGTGATAGAGCACCTGCTTAGCAAGTACAAGGCCCTGAGTTCAAACCCCAATAAAAAGGAGTTCTTTGAAATATTTAACTTACTAAAATAATAACAATAGGCACCAGAAATTTAGCATCAGATATGTATTATTCTATCATTCCTGAAATGTGACCATTGAAACATTCTTTAGATATTCTGTAACTATAGTTTTTACCTCTCACATGATATGTCCAGCTCATGGATGCAATAGGACAATTCTCACACCTCTATTTGCACTGACTAATCCTGTTTCCTTACTTTACTTTTTTGTTCTGAATAAACAATTATATCAGAAAAAAAGCATGTTCCGTTTTTCAAGAATATGGCTTGACTAATGTAAGAACTGAGAAAACAATGATATGATTTTACAGCCAGAACATAAGAATAAAGTGATACAAATTCCTGTTTTGGGTCCCTAGAGTTGCATTTGTTTCCACACTCTATTGGGTTAAATTATTCAACATTTCTCTTATTTGTAAGAGACATCACCAAATCTTCCCTCAAATTCCATTATTTGAGCAAAAGGCTACAGAGTAAGAAATGGAGTACTAACCAATAGACCCTCAAGAAAATGTGGAATATTTGGGTTGAGGTGGCCAGAGTACAGATAGGACTTCCTTCCATAATCTCGGATTGAAAATTGATAGTGAGAATGCTTTCCTCCTGAGAATAGATTCTAGGCGACAAGCTGGTTGCTTCTATAGAATGATTTCAGGAGGAAGAGGAATTGAGTGAGATCAGATATTCATTTCTAAGGACACTGAATACTTCTAGTGAAAACAATGAGTAGACTTGAATATGGAATTTGACATAAAAGATAAACTAGAGAGCTGGTGGAGTGGCTCAAGTTGTAAAAGCACCTGCTTAGCAAGCCCGAGGTCCTGAGTTCAAACCCCAGTGCTACAAAAAAAAATAATTAAAAAAAAAGATAAAATAGAGAAATTAAAGAAACCTACAACAAGTCCCTTTCTACTTAAAGCTGTTAGACTTCTTGAAGAATGAGTTTAGAAATTAGCCTTGTCTATTACATAATTGTAATGTAGGTTGAATTTACCACCTTATCAGATTTCCTTTGTGAAACTACTAATACTGATAACCAAAAGAAGTGATCAAGGAAATCCTGAGCTTCTTTTGGCTTTTAAAAATATAGTTCTCACTATGCTCTGATGGTAAGAAAAAAAGAAATTTATAGCATATAACACTCATATTTTGAAATATTAAAATATTGTAGGTCTGGGGTCAAGATATTGCAATAGCAGAACAAAAAAGAGAATTTTGATTGTGCTTGGTTTTAACATAAGTCTAAATCAGTCCAAATTAATCACTGTTTGGACTCACCTATTGTTAAATAATGCATTGATTAGTTCTAAACTTGTTAGATATGAAAGGTAAAATTTCAAGAGTGATTTCTAATATAGAGTGTATAATGTCTAAAGCAATAAATAAAAAATGAACTAAAATATGTTTACAGTCAAGTGCAGTGGTGTATATATATAAGGTAAAGGCAAGAGGATCATGAGTTCAAGGCCACCCTGGGCTACCTGGCAAGAACCTGTGTCAATGACAAAAAAGAAAAATTTTGTATAACTATAAAGAAATGAACAAATCAGAATCACATGGGATAATCTGACATGTTTCTCAAGTACTT